TTTCTCAAAAGCTGGGCTGCTCAGAGACCACGAGGGCCGATCTCAGAAATCGAAGAGGTTTGCTTTCTCAAAAGCTGGGCTGCTCAGAGACCACGAGGGCCGATCTCAGAAATCGAAGAGGTTTGCTTTCTCAAAAGCTGGGCTGCTCAGAGACCACGAGGGTCAATCTCAGAAATCGAAGAGGCACCTACTTTTCCAGCCTTGTCAGCACCTGTCACACGCACACTCAGTTTTGCGGAAATTATGGGCATTCTGTCGAAGATTTCTGGCGAAGTAGAAAGCACATGAATCGTACTGTTCAATCACCCACTTCCCCACACGCAACAGTAGCTCATGGGTACCACATATAACTTTGCCAAAGTTCTCTGACAAAGTTGAGACTACTTTTCCAGCCTTGTCAGCACCTGTCACACGCACACTCAGCTTTGCGGAAATTATGGGCATTCTATCGAAGATTTCTGGCGAAGTTGAAAGCACAGGAATCGTACTGTTCAATCACCCACTTCCCACACGCAACAGTAGCTCATGGGTACCACATATAACTTTGCCAAAGTTCTCTGACAAAGTCGAGACACGTGAAGCTTGCAACTCTCACTACATCGCTCTGACCAAGAAGGGTAAAAGAATAGCAAAGAAACAACACTAACAAAGTTTAGACACATAAATTTTGACGGCCTAGCTACCATATTATTACCCACAAGGGTAAAGGAACAGTACCACTGTTGGATAATTGGAAAGTCCCGGTGTGTCAACCTCTGTGCTTCATGGCAAGGTAGACTAGCAAACATGCCCAACCTTTACTCACATTCGAGAAAACACTCCCAACAAGATTGCTTGCCCCAAAATCGAAGAGGCATCGCCCTCCGAATCTCGAGAGCCAGACTCCCAACATGATTACTTTCTCAAAAATCGAAGAGAGGGTAAAGGAACAGTACCACTGCTGGATAATTTGAAAGTCCCTGTGTGTCATCCTCTGTGCTTCGTGGCAAGGTAGACTAGCAAACATGCCCAACCTTTACTCACATTCGAGAAAACACCCTCCGAATCTCGAGAGCCAGACTCCTAACATGATTACTTTCTCAAAAATCGAAGAGAGGGTAAATGAACAGTACCACTGCTGGATAATTGGAAAGTCCATGTGTGTCAACCTCTGTGCTTCGTGGCAAGGTAGACTAGCAAACATGCCCAACCTTTACTCATATTCGAGAAAACACTCCCAACTCCCAACATGATTACTTTCTCAAAAATCGAAGACACCGTTCTCCGAATCTCGAGAGCCAGACCCCCAGCATGATTGCTTTCTCAAAAATCGAAGAGGCATCGTTCTCCGAATCTCGAGAGCCAGATCCCCGACAGGATTGCTTGTTCGAAAACCGAAGAGGCACCACTTTCCCAACTTCAAGAGCCGGATCTCCTTGGATAAAGCTTGTCTGTAATCTTCACACGCAACATCAGCTTTCCAGATACCACAGACCACTTTTTCAAAGTGCTCTGACAGAGTTAAAACTTGTGAAGCTGGCAGCTCCCACTACCGTGCTATGACCAAGCAGGGTAAAGGAATAGCATTATTACTTGATGTTAGGGAGACTTCTATATATGTCGACCTCCATCCCCAACGGACAGGCAGACCTGCAAAAATGCTCAACCCTTCCTCTTATCTGAGAGGGCACTCCCAACGAAGCCTTTCGAAATATTCAGCTTTCTTTCCCCCCGATAATACCTCTGTAAACAAGCTATACTAGAGCAAGAATATCTCATATCATCAGGGTTAAAAGCAAGAGTATCCCATATCATGCTTTTTCCCTGTCTTTTCCTTTGGCCTTGTTCTTACCTGCAAGACAAGGAGAAAAAGAGCAATCAGTCAGCACTTGGAATCAAGCTTCCAGCCAGGAACTGACTGCGTGGAACCCCTTACCCTGGCATTGCTCTCGAGTACTCATCTTCAACATCTTATGCTCCCAAGGAAGATACCGCATCTGCCTGAGGAACAGATAGGGCAAGTGAGAAGGATACAAGGAAGCATGTGGAGACAAGCGTAACAGCACACGTGCCGATACATCCACTACTCTGTCAAAAGCAAAAGTATCCCATATCAGCAGGGTCGAACGTACTCTAGATTTGATGGACTTGTTTTGACCCTCAAATTCTTCAGTCGGCCTTATACTTTGGAGGAAACCAGAAAACCCTCCAGCCCAGTTCAAGAATAAGCCTGTGGAAAGTTACTTCTTCAAAAGCAAAAGTATCCCATATCATCTCTTCTCATTTTTCTTCTCTTTATCCTTCATGCTGCCTGCAAGATAGGGAGAATGTGAACAATCAGCCGGAGCTCTGATTGCTTACCTTGTCTGTTACCTCTTTCAGCAGATCCCCTAGCTCGGCGACTTGGGGGACTCCTACTACATGGTTTGTATCGCGCTTGACCAAGCCTGAAACTACAAGTAAGCTTCAAGTGACATTGATACATTACCTTGTGCATCTCCACCAGTTACAGATACCACCCCTGGATGGAAGAAGAGTACTTCCAGAGAAGATTTCACATCTACCTATGAGACAGATAAGGAAAGTCAAGCCGATACCACACTCCGGGACTTAGAAGTTTGGTGGTTACGAGATCATTCTCCCACAATATTTCCTAAAGTCATTTGTACTAAATCATTCACTTGTACTCCCTAAAGGAGAGCTTGAACCTATGTACTTGTGTAAACCCTTCACAATTAATGAGAACTCCTCTATTCCGTGGACGTAGCCAATCTGGGTGAATCACGTACATCTTGTGTTTGCTTTCCTATCTCTATCCATTTATATACTTATCCACACTAATGACCGGAGCAATCTAGCGAAGATCACAAAAAAGTGACCGTTTTCGCTACCTAGGATCTATCTTGCAAGAGAACGGAGAATTAGCTGGAGATCTCAACCATAGAATACAAGTTGGATGGATGAAGTGTAAGAGTGTATCCGGCGTGTTGTGTGATCGTCGTAGGCCACTGAAGCTCAAGGAAAAATTTTATAGGACGGCAATAAGGCCAACGATGTTGTATGGCACAGAATGTTGGGCGGTGAAGCATCAACACGTACACAAAATGGGTGTAGCGGAGATGAGGATGCTTCGTGGGATGTATGGGCACACGAGAAAGGATAAGATTGGGAATGAGGATATCCAAGGTAAAGTAGGAGTAGCCAAAATTGAAGGAAATATGAGAGAAAATCGGTTCCGGTGGTTTGGACATGTGCAAAGAAGGCCTACTGACGTTCCGGTTCGAAAATGTGACTACGGGACAGAAGTTCAGGGCCGAAGGGGTAGAGGAAGACCTAGGAAAACTTTGGAAGAGACCCTAAGAAAAGACTTGATTACTTGGATCTAACGGAGGACATGACACAAAACCGAGCGCAATGGTGTTCTAGGATTCATATAGCCGACCCCACTTAGTGGGAAAAGGCTTTGTTGTTGTTGTTGTTGTTGTTTGTACTTAAGTTCATGTACTGTACATACTTTATTTAAAACATAATTGAATATCGGTCGGTATTGCACTATATATAGCCTAGGCAACATGGTCATGATTTAGTGTTTTTTTCCTTTCAAATGTTTGTCCTTTTACATTGTACAAGTATCATGAATTTGTGATAACTAACCACTTTCAATATATAGTGTACGTGGACAAACAAAATTAATTAGTAATATAAAATGTTAGTGTACGTGGACAAACAAAATTAATTGGTAATATAAAATGTAGTTTGATTTCGTTTAAGAACTTATAAAGTTTATTTAGTAATTAAATTTATGATATGTGGGATATTTCTTTACATGCTCAAACGGCCTTGTATGTGTGATAAATTTTTAAACCTCCCACATACGTGAACAACACAAATTTGGTGACGTAGAGCATGTGTGGCAGTTTAGGTAAGTCAACATGCTCTCATACATTAGCTAAAATCAATTAGCAATATGGAGAGTAATCAAATCTTTATGAGCACTACAAAGTCATTTTGATAATTTAATATAGCGATATGTAACATTTCTTCACATCCTCACGACATGCTCAGTCATTTGGGCATATCCAATATGATCTACATCCTACTTGTAATTTTTCTTTCCCTTGTGATTATATCCACTCCATACATTGTTGTGAATATAATGATAATAAATTAAGAGACATGAAGTCTTAACCTAAGTTCTCAAGCCCTCCAATATGTTTCACATTCATATATATAGTTTGTACTTATTGATAAACAATCACAATAGTCATAATGACTTAGAAAAGCAAGAATAGAATCAAGTTTTTCTACCAAATCCTTTTTCATATTAACATAACTACGCCATTCAAAACTTTGTTGTGACATGATTGATCAAAGGTAGGTAGGATATGATAAGTTTCATATAAATATAAATTTATTGAATGAGATTACCTTAAATTGCAATCTTTTAGAACTTGATTCACACATCCACTAAAATAGAGAGATTGAAAATTTAAAATAGAGATAGAATAGGGGTGAAGTCTCAAAAGAGTATAACTATTCTATCTCCTTTCTATTTGGTTTACACAACAAGAAAGGAATTCAATCTTGCATATAACTATTCGCTACCTCCCAATGGCAACCACCGCGCAACGACTGTGATTCACATGCACCCAAATCGAATTTGAGTGCTATTCCCACATTCATTTTTTTGATTTTTTACATACTCATCTCAATTTGCGGTCGTCGGATCGAATGAATTGAAGAATATCAATGGTAAAAAACTAACAAGAGTGTGTGAGAGATAAAAATGGATGTGTGAATAACACTTTTTTAAAACACTAGGCAACAAGCATATCACAAATTTTCTCGTAGGTATTACAAAGGCTTATAAGAAGTTGGTTATTTAGGATAAAGCATAACTCCCTTCACTATATATAGTCATGCATGCACTAGAAATGATACTTTGTAATTGCTTATGTGTATATATATAGAAGGGAGAGTGATGAAGTACACATAAACAAAAAATTAAGGCACAACAAATATGCTTGTGAATTCTATGCTCGCATTCCACCGTTCCATTTATGGATTTCAATTTCAACCAAATAATCAAACTAAATATCCACTTACATAATGTCAGATGAATCATGCATGCAAATTAAAGCCATGACCATGGTAAACGCGCTCACCTTCTCTACTTCAGAATATAATTTTACATTAACACTTGCATTACATCATCTTCCTTTCTACAATACATGCCTAGCTAGCAAGCTACAATATGATATACGGATCATCGATCAGTATCTCATTAAATATGATTTTCTGTGGATTGATGCAGTAACAAGCATCTAACTGGTAAGTTGTGCCGTTTGTATGTCATTAGCGATAGTTTTACACTGCTGAGATGTCATTGATCATCTTCATCAAGACACCAATATTATGAAGAAGTTCCATTATTAACAGATAAGAAATCGATAAAAGGAAGACCGGCTACGTTGCTTATGTTCTGTTGTCCCGTACCTTCCTGATCCACCTCCTCCTCATCCTTTCTTGCGTTATCTATCACTTCACTCCCATTAGACTCAGTATTTACTTGAAGAAAATCGTAAAACTCAATTGGCTGATCTTTATTATGATCTACAACATAGATATAATAAATACATATAGTTAGGTCCATGCATGCATGAGAATATTGATCAATGGTCGTTGTAACTGATAAGGGCATGCATCATCATCAAATATATATATATTGCATATATGTAATTCTGTCGCTAGGAAGATGCATGCATGGAACACTATGAGTAGTCATGAGAATTAATTGGTACTAGAGGATAATCACCTTGGTGCATTGTGACACTGCAGGTATTGGGATAGAACTCCTTTGGAAAGAGAGGATGAGGGTCATGAGTGAAAGCTGGCCGATACTGATGATGATTTCTGTCGTTGCATGAGTAATATTTCCCAATATAATTATATGAATCAAGGTTCCACGTGCCGATATTGCAATTGATCTGCAGGGGATGGTCTTGTTTTGAAGAGGATTTTGGTTCATTATTGTTAGTATTGATACTCATGAACGGGGTTTGAGCCGTAGTAGCAGCAGTAACACTAGACGTATTCCTTATTAATTTGGCGTGATTAAGCCTAGATCTTTCTCTGCACCTGCGTGCCATGATGACATGCCAATGGTTCTTGACTGCGTTATCGGTACGTCCAGGGAAAAGCCTTGCAATAACAGCCCATCTATTTCCATGGATGCGGTGAGAAGCTAGGAGACGCTCTTCTTCCTCTTCTGTAAAAGGGTTCCTATTGATTCTTGAATCCAACTGATTGAACCATCTCAACCTACAGCTTTTTCCTGCATCATTCAATTCATTGTGAATTAATTATTCGTGGACATGATTACATTACAAAAACACGTTCAATTAACCCTAATCAATTAACTACTCTCTTCCCCCCCCCCCACACACACACACACACATATGCATGTCTTAATTAGTTGAGTAATTGAATATTTAATTAATTTAATTAATTGCGTACAAATATATTTGCCCTAGCTAGCTGCAGCATATATAATTTTGGGCATGTTAGTATAAGCAGTTTCCAACAATTTCAACAAATGCAAACATATCAATCAGAAAACGAAAAGAAATAGAAAACTAGAAATAGTATACCTGATCTTCCTTGGAGCTTTTCTGCTATTGCGTTCCAGTTATGAGGTCCATATCGTTCCACCAACTCCCTAAGCTTCTCGTCTTCAGCTGGCCTCCAATGGCCTCTAGTGCACATCTTAATTATATGTGTTTATGATCTTCAAGTGTTTTTTTTTATAAATAAACACAAAAAGAACAAATTAATAAATTGGAATTAAAGCTGCCTAACAACCTATATCTAGAGCTAATTCTACAACGACCATGGATGCCTGATGTTCTCCCTTCGTGATCGAATAGATCGACAAATACTATCTAGATTTGTAGAGAGCGAAGAAGAAGAAGAAGACGACGACGTCGACGATGCCCAGCGCGGGGGCAAGGCAATAATAACCGAGACAATTATAACTAAGGTACGGCAGGAGAGATCAATAGATAAGGGAGGAGCGAAGCTAGAGAGCTTGGAGATCCTTTGAATTAGCTAAATGGATTATTATATAAGGGAGAGGGGAAGAGAGATGAAAAGTATTTTCCGTTAGAGAGTGGGAGAGTTTGGACAGACCTTACACCTGCGATTGATGCAACGTCTTGGCTAACAAAAAAAAAACCACAATTATATCATCATCATCCCACCAAGTTTTATTATAATATTATAAGATGAAAATATGACATGAGAACATGAGAGAGAGAGAGATGGGTTGCTTGGTGGGGTGAAGTATGGTTCCTCTTTCAACGTCTTTCCAAATTTCTAACCTACAACGTCTACTTATAACCCACCTAGCCATCTTACTCTCATTTTCTTTTATTTATTAATTTTTGTACGTATATGAAAAAATTATTTAAGCAATGATCACATTAACATAAATATGTATCACTAAACAGAAGTTGTAATAGATTGCATAGACCAGATGATTACGTACCCATACAGCTAACCCTAATTCAATTAATTAAACCTTATCCTAATTACGAGAAGAAATCATTAATTTTATTGTTAAAGACCAGAAAAAAAAGGTGAGGGTTGGTTTGGTATCTGTGGTGGTGTACTCAGGAATATGGGAGTTGAATTAGGTTTTGTTCACCTTTCAGACCTAACTAACAATTTTAGCTTACAAACCTCACGACTTCAACTGCACGTGGAGAATCGGACATCATTATTACAAAATAATAATATTAACTACTTCTTTTTGAGTCAAACTAACTCAAACTGCTTGATCTGTTTCTCATCTCCGGCCGTGTAGCTGTGTAATAGCTTACATTTATCAATGTAATAGGATGTCCACAATGTAATAATCAACGTCATTGCAGTAATAATAATGTCATTCTGTAACTTTGTCAATATTGTATATGTAATCACTTGGACAATAAACTTTAATGATTATAATGTAACCTTGTTTCTTGTAGTTTAGACGTTGAATCATGTAAGAACTTAACATTATGTTTTAATACTATTAACGTGAAGGTTGGGAGATCTAAAGTGAATAACAATGTATGGTTAATTTTGCGTCCACTCATAATATGATATCTCATGTCTATATTATAACAAGACATCCATGATGTACAAACAATATTGTTAATTAATGTAATAACAATATCATTTTGTAACCTCACCATTATCATATTACGTTGAAAAATAAATGTTGTCATATAATCTTACACAGAGTACAATACCCTTAAGAAAAGAAGGGCACCATAGTATTTTCCATTAAAATATTAGGTAGCGTTATCTACATACCCATTTTTACTTCTCACACACCTTTCTCAAATTTCAACCGTCAGATCGAATGAAGTAAAGAAGATCAATAACAAAAAAATTAACAAGAATGTGTGCGTACATAAAAAGTAAAAATGGGTGTGTGAATGGTTGAAGGTACTTTCCTAAATTTAACCATCGATCTGTGTCGTACGTCAATTATGTTTGAATTCACGCTTGCATGTTGTGATTGTTATTTAATAGATGGTATAATTTTTTGTAATCATTCTTAACACATGAAGGTTAATGTGTGTGTGTGTGTGTGTGTACACACTAATTAAGAACCTGCATGAGTTACAAGTTACAACCAATGAAATGGAAGACATCTCTCTCCTATTGTAGCCATATACCTATATGTAATTAAAGTATGAGCATGCTAGTGTAGATCCCCCAACTTAAAAAAAATAGATGTTAAAAGAGAGTTTTTTAGGACATATTTTGTACACGACATGATATGATAGTTGATGGTTGGAATTTCTTTTTTAACTCGTTAAAAAATAAATCAGCCATCAACCACCATATCATGTGGTTTACAAAATATAATCTAAAAAGATGGTCTCCCTAGCATTTTCCAAAAAAAAATAATTATTGATCATGTTGGTGTGACCCAACATCCAAACTGCAAAGAATCAAGGAAACTAATTAGTTTTCCTGATATTAATTTATAAGGACAGGAGCCATTCTTATGACCGTTGGCCTAACCATTCTCCCAAGTAGGAGATCATCTAAATTGCTTGTAAAAAAAGTGAGGGCCAGGAAACACATCCTCCATCTTCACCCAACTTACACTGCGCTTGACATTGGAAAATCTCACCAGTAGCTCAGCTTGCTGTTTCTTCATCACCTACCTAGCTCTCTCTCTCTCTCTCTCTCTCTGTCTCACACACACACATACACACACACACTGATATATGCACAAAGATTTGTTGAATTAACGGTGTATATCTGCTGCAAATTAAGTATTGTTGACAGATCAGTTAATTAATTTATGGAGTACTTAAATTTTGAATATATGGATCATCCATGAGGAATTTTGAAGATGCATGCTATCTAGATTCATTTCCCCAAATCATAACGCAATTCATTGCATACAAGTGTCCATATATATAATTTGTTAATTAAAAATCCAAGCTGATTAAAATTCATCAATTGTAGAGTTCTTCACACTGTTCACCAGTTTCACCTACTTTTCTTATGGCAGTGAACAATGGTATGAAACTCATTCCAAGAGTTGTTTTATTACTATTTACTTGCTGCTTAACGGAACTTCTATCTCTTTTACACTTTACACGTTAGCAAGAGTTTAACATAAAATCATGAGCGATATCGATTGCTTGTTATTGTTAAAGTCCCTTGTAACCCTGAAGTTTATTCTTTTTGTTCATTAGTGATAAAATAAACTTGTTAGGATTTCTTGTTCCACAAGTATTGTATAGTAAAATGTAATTAACCTACTTTTAAAGAAATCCTAATCCTTGAAGCCTAATGCTTGCTGTAAAAAAAGTTACCCTATAAATGAAATCCATCGAACTCGATATCATACATTATACATAGATGTACATAAAGGAATGAAGACATGATCCTTGACCATCCATGTAACTGTTGGGACTGGTAAGAATAATGATATATTTCTTGCTCTTCTTAGGGTAAAAATATAGGGGATACATAAATTCCGCTTTGAAGGAATGTTGTGAAGAACTTTTAACGCACACAGACCATAGCTCAAAGTGGTCTTGTGTCCACCTTACCATATATATATAAATATAGATAGACATATATATGTGTGTGTGTGTATATATATATATAATATGGTAGGTAGCTGGCAGCATTCTCTATAACTTTGTCTTGTTCTGTGATTCTAGCTATCTGTCTGTCTCTCTCACTCAAAGCCTGTTTCTGCAAAGTTTAACCAAATCCTGATTAAGGCCGTTAATTAGTCCCCTTAACTGATCTTAAGAAGTAAGGATTTGACACTCACCTAACTAAGACGGGATAAAGTTAGGGTTTCTGGTTCCAGAAGTAACATAAACTTCCCATCTGTAAAACTGCCCAAACCCAACTTATGAACCATTCCAAGGGATTTCTTTTGTTTCTTGACCGAGCTATCCACTAATCACGATCAATGAAGAGTACACCTACCTACCAAACTACATACATACATACATATATATATATATATATATATATATATTATATATATTATACTACTATAACTTCTTTTCTCTATTTTAATATTACAGTTAAACTTCCTTATTGTTTGTTGTACAAATGTCAAGGTCAAGAATCAGCTCTCAACAAGTCTTGACTCAATGAATAATTAATTTAGAATATAAACAAGGTTTTATGCTTAAGGCTGATCACAACACCCAAATATATATATATATATATATATATATATATATTTATAAAACTATATATGTGGAAATAAATTGCAGGTGCTCGTTGAGTGCAATTCACTTTTTTTTGAGTTAATTCTAGGGTATTATTAGGTAGAGGACAGGGATACATGTGAACTCTCATGCATGTCATTGTTTGGCTAGCTTAGCTAGGATATATATATACATTCCTTTAAAATGGATATGTACTTGTACTAACCTTGATGTTATATAGCACCTTTGCATTTTCTAATCCAGTCCCTGGCTGGGCTACATTTCAATGTTTGGCACAATTAGGACCAAATTGTGCACCTTTAATTAATTAGTTAACTAACTTCACACTGTCGGTTGTCCAACTGAGAAGCGACTGCATTTCTAGCAATAGGACTATGATTAATCATAAGAAAATATTGAATCACTATATAAATTAAAAAGTAAAAAGCGGATATTTGACAATGATACTAAATAATTGTTACCAGCACTTCATAAAAAGATGATGCACTCCTTGAAATGAAATATATCGTTCTTTGGTGTTTTATAAAAATGGATAGATGATGATCTTTTAGGCCATCTCCAACCGAAGGGTCCAGAGAGCCAGATGGCCGAAAATAGTCCAAAAACCGTCTCCAACTGAGGGCTAGGCCAGAGGGCTCGTGGAATATGAGAGGGCCCCACGGAATCTGAAAGGGCCAAAGGGCTGGAGGGCTGGGGACTGGCCAGAAAAACCATTAATCATGTCGGTTATAACCGACAGGAATGCTTAAAAAGAAATTTGAATCCAACGGCTAGCTGGTGCCAGTTACCGTTGGATTCAAATATATATATATATATATATATATTTTAGGTTTTTTGGGCCTTTTTTTTTAATTCTCAAAAATTCTAATTTTTTTTCATATAAATACCTAAACCATTCATTCACCATTCCTCACAAAATTTTCACCATTCCTACACCATTTCAATTCTCATATTTTCTTTCCTCTTTCAAAAATCTATCCTTCAATTTTTTCAATAATTTTCAAGTGGCCTCGTCGTTTTTAAATTTCAGTTAATATTGTTTTTAAATTTAATTTGTAGTTTTTAAATTCAAGTTAATGTTGTTTTTAAATTTAATTTGTAGTTTTTAAATTTAATTCGTCGTTTTTAAATTTAAGTTGTTGGATTTAAATTTAAGTTGTTGTAGTTTTTAAATTTAAATAATAAATTATGTTTGGCCCTTTGGCCCTCGGTTGGAGATGGATGCAAATATGGCATTGTACTGTTAATTAAAATATTAATATCTTGAAGAGTCAGAGAGCTAAAACGAACCATCTGACCAGCCCTCGATTGAAAATGGCCTTAGAGGGTCAATAACCAGGGACGGAGGGAAGAAGGGACGAGGATGGGTCCGGGGCCATCCTCACTTTTGTTATAAAATCCTTCATTAACTACCCACCGTTCAATTTGTATAGGAAAAGAAAACCTTTTTTTTTTTTTTATCTCTTTTTACCTAGAAGCAGCCCAGCAGCAACAGAGACCCCAAACTCCAAAACTATTCAGCCTATTATCCTTCCCATTTCTTGAATAATATATTTTGTCAAATTCCTAATTTCAAACTAATTCAACAAACACATATAAGGTTTGTAAAATCTCTTTCTGCTCAATATTGTGAAGAACAACTTAAGCAATCAAATTTTTTATAATTAAAATATTTTTAATTATTTTATTATACATTATAAATATTATATAATACTATATAATCTTTATAATATATTTTATATCATAACTTGAACTAATATAATAGTAATATCACTTGAATATACGAGTGATTTGTAGATGAATGATTGTTTGGTTACTTATATCGTAAAAAATTTATTATGATGTTTTGGTTAATAGTTTGGGTAAATTACACAAAACTACTTCACTATGGGTCGAACGACACTTTCATACCTCATCTTACGAATTTGTGACAATGTCATACCTCCGTCAATTTTTCTATTAAATGCTGACGTGGCCAGAGACAGGACCCACTCATTAATCCAACTGGATTAAAAAAATAATTAAATATTCAAAAATTCAAAAATTAAGAATAAAAAAACAAAAAAGAAAATAAAATGGCTTAAGGGTGCGGGCCTCCCCTTTTCTCTACCCGCACCAACCTTCTTCTTCTCTTCGACAGCCACCAAACTCTTCCACGTCCCTCCAACCTTCCACAACCCACCCCCATCCCCCACCTCTTCCCGTCCCTTTCAAACCTAAACCCTAACCCTAATTCCCCATTTTCAAACAGAAAACCCCAACCTTCCTCACTAGTCCCCCTAACCTTCCCCACCCGTCCTCCCCATCCGTCCCCCCATTCTTCCTCCACCACCCTTTCTCTCCCCTCTCTCTATCTGGGCTACCTGCAGCTCTTCCCCCATCCCCCTCCCTACAATCTGCAATTCTCTCTGACTCCCTCCTCCTTCATTTTCAACAAGATTGGTGACATCTCGACCAATCTAGCGTCACCCCACCACTTGCCGGATAGAGTTTCCCAACGGCGAGCTTGGCATCGATGACAGAATTCTGCTCAGGTCAAGGGCCAATTTCGGCTCCAGTGTCATCCTCGCGTCTCGGTGGTGGAGGAAGGTTGGGGGGGACGGGTGGGAAGAGTGGGAAGGGTTTCTGGGTTTTAGGGATGCAGGTGTCCAGAAAGAGAGAAGAGAGAAGAAGAGAGAGAGAGAGAGAGATGAGAGAGAGAGATAGAGGGTGGTGGAGGAAGGTTGGGGGGGGGGGAAGGGTGGGAAGGGTTTATGGGTTTTGGGGATGCAGGTGTCCAGAGAAAGAAAAGAGAGAAAGGCGTGAAAGATATGAGAGAAAGAGGAAAAGGGTTAGTACTGCGGGTGGAAGGGAAGGCCGGATCCCTTAGGCCATTTTTTTTTAATTTTTAATTTTTTTAATTTTTGAATATTTAATTATTAAAAATATATTTAATTATTTTTAATCCAGTTGGGTTAGTGAGTGGGTCATGTCTTTGGCCACGTCAGTATTTAACAGAAAAATTAACAGAAAAACTGACGAAGGTCTGACATTGTTACAAATTCTTAAGATGAGGTATGACATTGTCATTTTAAAAAGATGAGATATGAAAGTGTCGTTCGACCTATAGTTGAGGTAGTTTTGTGTAATTTACCCTAATAGTTTTGTAAATACTATTTGTTTATATTTATTTATTTATTTTTAATATTTATGTGAGGCCTCCCCTCACATGAAATCCTGACCCCGACACTGACAATAACACTTATGTTTGAAAAACACGAGTAGTTGTGGCCAATTCTTGACTTAAGTTTATAAATGGAGCTTCCACTTTTGTATTAGAATTGTTGTTGAAGAAAACTTTAGTACATAGTTTAGTTGGAAATTATATAAGTGGCTAGTGCTCAATGAAAAAAAATGCACTAGGGATACCATTTCTTTCGGCTGAAGTGTTGATTGACGCAATCAGCTCACAAGTCCAACATGATTCCGACATTTTTCATGTTGAAATTTGACTAATGGACATCCTCCTTAATCTTTCATTTACAGAAATATTACCACTAGGAAATTAGGAATCTTTAGGTTTACTCAAGGGTACAGCATCAGTTTTTAGAACTTTCAAGTTTGAAGTAACTTTTAAAATAGATCACGTTGTTTTAATTTTTCTTTTCACATTGTGTTATAAAGTTTTGAAGTCAATTTTTCTTATTCCAAAACAATTCATCACACATTTTGGTCCTAATAGTATAAGTGTGGCCTCTACACCGTCTGAAAACGTCTCACATCATCAATTTAACAAAAGGTCATATGGTTAGATGACGAACAGGCATAAATTCACATAATTTTAGTATCTCGTGATGTAACTTCATATTCCTTTTCAGAATTCACCTAAAACATAAGAGTATAATTAGCTCTAAATTCAAAGAAAATAGCTGAGGCCACTAAGTTTACAGCAGCAGTAAATGCTCAAGTTAGGTGCATGTTTGAAATATTGAGCTCTTTGCCACGTTGTACTTCCACAAAGAATGTAATTATTTGTAAAACCCTGCTACCTCTGATTTTGATGTTCCAGTCAAAACATCATTATTCATTATGGTAAATACAAATAAAGTGGTAACTTTTAACTCTAAATCAGGACGGCTCACATGAAGTGGACATGCCAAGTCAGCAGTTTCTAAATTAATCATGTCACATCCCGGCCCGGACGGGACCACTTCCCGAGCTCTACTTTACCGTAGCACGATATTATCCGTTTTGAGTCCCGACCACACCCTCACGGTTTTGTTTCTGGGAACTCACACAAGAACTTCCTAGTGGGTCACCTATCATGGAGTGCTCTCGTGCGCTACTCGCTTAACTTCCGAGTTACGATGTACTCCAAAGCCAGTGAGCTCCCAAAAAAACTCGTGCTAGGTAAGGATGGGAATATACATTTAAGGATCACTCTCCTGAACGATGTGGGATGTTACAAATCAAGCGATGCTAAGTGAGAAATTTAAAAACACATGACATTGTGTTATTAATTCCAAATGCTAATTTCGCCATTCAACAGATGAATTGTGACTACAAGGACGACAATTCGACTTCCTGGGTGCAGGGACGGAATACCACAAAGGTACTATCACTTGAGAAGGAACCAGGATTAAAACAAGTGATTCCTGTGTATTTGAAAGCCTTCTGGTCACTTCTGTCACCTAAAACTATCTGCACAGCAAGATCAAAGGATAAAAGAAATCTTAGACCTCCCAAAATTTAGAGCACCTAAGCTAAATCAAAACTGAAAAAAAAACAAAAACAAAAATGAAAAGCCAGATTGAATCTTAGAATTACCGTGTCGGGAGTTGGATAGAGGTAAAGCGAGTGATCGTAATTCCAAATGATGGGTTGTACAATAAGAGGGAGTGGGCAGAGATGACATTGATGGGTTATGGTGGCAACAAGCTGTGACAAAATGAAAAATCGAGAACCCGTTAAGTTTCCTTGGTGATCATGCACATTAGTCAACAAGATATTGACAATAGTTAGATAGATTGAGATGGAGAGATGTTACATGCTCGAAGTGATCATCAGTTTCTACTGTACAAGGGGGAACCAGACAGGAACGACGCATTCTGTAGAGCAGATCTTGACGGAAAAATACAACCTCCTTGGTACCCAACTTTAATCTGCATTCAAGAATGGGAAGTCATTGATCAGCAGGACAACTGAAAATACAAGCACAGAAGAAACTTTGTATCTCAGGAACCACAAGGTTCCCTGGTGAGAGATAAATTCTTTTGTCTTGGAATTTATTGTAGCCAACTGAATCAGTGCTCAGAAAACACATACCTGCAAGGATTACTGGAAAATATGGCATTTGGAATGTGAGTTTGAAGCTCTTCCGTTAAATATTTTGGTAAAGCATTCCTGGGCAGAGCTGTCGAAGGGCCTGAAATTATCAAAAAGCAGAGATTAATCAAGTATGTACCTAGACTCTAAGCACATTTTTTAAGAAAGATTTTTCTAATCTTTGGAGCAGCATAATAAAACAAGCGTCGTATACCTGCATCATCAGGACCTGGGATAAATAGAAAACAACTACCCTCTACTAGCCGTGGATGGGCTGCAATCATCTTCCCTAGCTTGCCAAACTGCAACCTGCAGGTCTAGGGCACTGACGTGAGAAAGAAAAGACTATCCAGAGTAACAAAATAAATCTTATCAAAATATTCCTGACCTGAGACTGGAGAAAGAATGAAAAGCAAGATTACACGGGCGAGAGCAAAAATTCCCCATGAGTACAAATAAGCATGGTACAAATTCTTCATCCTCAAAGGCACTGAATACTGTCTCTAGCTTTCCCATAGCCTTGTCAAATAAGAAAAGAATTATCAACGTAATGTTGAGAAACTCTGCGAAAATATGTCATTAGCATATTTCATAAGAAAAAGAATGTTAGTCACCTCTTCATCGTCGAGCCAAATGTCAGATAGTATGACGACATTGTCATTAGCTACTGTCCTATCCAACTTTGCAAGTCTAAGCTGTTTGAAGTGTAAAGGAAACTATATATCCATAATATCCTTTGGCTAGTCTATAAAGCTCAACAATCATATACCAGCTATGTTTACAAAATTTTGAACAATTCCAAAAGACTACAGCAATTTTAGGATACAGTCTCCTCTTCTGTTAGAGAACTACTACCAAAAAAGTCATTCCCTGCAATAAATTGGAGGGACTCGTCTCTGGGCTCAAGCGGAGGAAATCCACAAGTAATCACCTTCTCAAAAAAATAAGTGATTAGCTAAATCGATTACCACATTATGATATGAAAATTCAGCCTCACAGCAGGTGAGAATAAGTAGTTCCGAGGAGAAGCTAATAAATGTTCTACCTTGGGAATTACAAGATATTAAGTACTGGTATTTTGAAAACTAAATTCTAGTAAAAGTATGTGCCGTTTTTATTAAGAGTGTAGAGAAGAAAAGGATGTTAGCTAACCTGAAAGACACCCTCTAAAAGCATCTCACCTTCTGCAACAACTATTGTGTTCTCCACGAAAAACCCTGCGGTTATCTGGTACGCATTGTCAAAGAAAATGATTATTTAACACTTGTCATTTGACTGAACCTCAACTTCGGAGTTTACGATTCAGGCATAGCCATAACTCATGCCACAACTGAGTCTCTATAAAAAAAGACATGGAATCAATGAGGGTCATAAAATCAACACTGAGGTTATCAATGATTAGAGTGCGTAAAGGATATTGCATTCGATAAGTCGATTTCCACAGACGAAGAAAGGTCTTCCAAGTAAAAATGGCCATCCTCCAACTGAGATATCAGACCCATCACCCATCTCCTTCCGGTTTGCCCAATCAGGGACTGAATTGGAGATATCTGACCAGCATATCATATATATATATATAAAGTTATTTAATTCAACCGTGCCGCTTAAAGGACCCTAATCAAAGTTACACAAAGAAAGAAAATGTGAGTACCAACCTCGCGGCGACCTGCATCCGACGATTTAGAACCAAATGCCGGTCTGGAAAACTCCTTTTGGCGAGAGATAATCTGGGAGAGCAAGAGAAACCTATCCCTGTACAGAGCCGATTTAGCCGATGCTTCGCCATGAATAGATAATCTCCCAGTATGCCTAAAATCAACCCGAAAAACGAAAAGAAAAACACATTAGCCCTGAACACATTCACTTTACAAAGAATTAATGAATTGGTTGGCCAAAAAGAAACATACCTGTAGAAACTTTTCTTGATGGGATCGTATCGGAACTTTGGGACCTTGAAGGCATCAATTATGTGCCAATCAGGTTCCGAGGTACCACCACCACCGTCATCATCGCCGTCGTAGACGGCCGCATCAGCACGCGACAGTTTGGTAACGAGGCGGTGCACCGTCTCCTTGTCTTTTCCTGCAATCCCCAAGAAAAAAGACGCAATCTTTTGTTTAGGAAGAAAAAGAGGAAATTGAAAATGATGAAGAAATGGTGAAAATTGGAAGAAAAAATGGGGGGATTACGGGGTTGGGTCTCGAGGAAGTCGAGGAGGAGATCGATGGCATCGTCGTCGGGAGCAGAGTCGTCGAAATTGGACGCGAAGGAGAGGATCTCGTCGACGGCGTCCGGGTCAAGCGTGTACCCTCTGATCTTGCACTTCCTCTGCACCTTCTTCCTCCCCGAGCTGCTCATTTCTCTTTCTCTCTCTCTCTCTCTCTCTTCAGATTGGTAAGAGCTAAACCTAAAGGTACGGGGTTTCGGCGGCGTTTGGGGGTTTTGCTTGTTTTGGGCGGGAAAATGTCATTCTTCCCTCTTTTTCCACATGAGGCGGGAAAATGTGTCATCTACTTATGCGAAGTTCCCATTATGCCCCTGTTTTGTTCACAATCGCTTTAAATTTAAAAACATGATACATAGATTTAAATTTAAATTGTCTCATCTAGATCTACTTAATTAATCTTTATTATTTGTTGCAAATTATATGTTTGGGAACGTTGTCAACTTTAATTTAATGAGATTTGCCAATGGAATAGTGTTTGAAGTTCTATCGAATCCTTTGAAGTTTTGTTTTTCCAACTAATTAATTATTGACAGTGAGTAGTAATTTTCGTCTCAATATTTGAACATAATATAAGTTCGAATCTCAACAATAAAAAAAAAATAGTAAAATTAATGAAAATAATTTAAAAAGTTTGAATTTTAATGATAAGAACAAAATAAAAGGTAAAGTGAATAATATCATGATTGACTTTTTAGTATAAAAATGTGATTTTTCATTAAAGTGAACAGTACCGGCAGCTTTTTGTTTAAGTTCCAAAAAAACAATTTCATTTTTTGCAAAAAAAAAAAAAAAAAAACAGTTTAGTTTTATAGTTCAAGGTCTTAAACTTTGTGGGTTTTTTTTTCATTAAAATTAGATACAAACAAGGGCCAAAGGGTAAACAAGCTCCCCTTAACATTAACTTCCCTCCATTAGGGGAAAATCTCGTGTCTAGCAGCCGGATCACTTGTCCGTCCGGCAACACAGGACCGATACGTCCTTGTATTATTGTGACCGAGACCCACCTCTGGTTCCATTGTGAGAGGGGTGCCGGCTGCCCATACGCAAGTTCTCCATCTCGGACCTGTATATCAATTATCATTGGAACCAAGGCAGAAACACAATGTTGAGAGCTTTCTCCATATCACAATACGAGTGAGAGTTATCCATAATCGCCTTGTACAACTTATCGACATCACTTTCTAATAAATTTCCTTCGTCACCAACCCCATCAAAATCCAAACTTTGACCCACTAGAACAATTTCTGAACAAAAGGGACGCACATTGACCTTAAATCCAGCAAGAACATTCATGGGTTGCGATAATTTCACAAAATTCAAACAAGGGGTCCCTAGAAATGGCATGAAATGATAACATGAACACGCAGAGAGCATGTCATTTCGAAAATTTGATTTGGGTTCAACCGGGGATCTCAAATATCTAAAGAAATTAGCATTAGAAGTGCAGAGGGACAATGAGTGGTTCTTGAAAGTGAATAAATTGATAAAAATATAGGCCTCACGTGGAAGAAATTGAAGTTTTGAGAGACTGGTACAGCATTTTGTTCGTATATTAACCTAGAATATTATGATATACTAAGATTATAGAACAATGATAGAAAGAATGATGAAAAGAAGAAGAAGAAAGCTCTGAATATTTTGAAGAACATATGAAATGCAATCTATCACAAATGACAGCTACAACAGCTATTTATAATAGCTAATGTCTCAATACAAAATGATTCAATTACCCTTTCTAACAACTTTCTTTTAAGTAACTCAAACTAACCAATATAGTTACATGAATCAGTATGACTATATGGTTATTACTCCCCCCTCAAACTAAGCTGAGCTACCGAAGCTGAGTTTGCTGCAGAACCAACTCCCAAGCCAAGGGTTCTGCAATGTTTTTGAAATATTGGACTATGCAATCCCTTGGTGAATACATCAGCTATCTGATCCTCTGTCGGAATATAGTGAACCAAAAGATCTCTTTTCTGAACCTTCTCACGCACAAAGTGATAATCTGTGTCAAGGTGTTTGATCTTAGAGTGAAAAACCGGATTTGAGCTTAAAGCCAATGCTGAGAGGTTATCACAATATAAGGATGGTGGGACTAATATGTATTGATGAATATCCTTAAATACTGAGCGGATCCAAAACACATCAGCTACACAATGTGCTAATGCCTTGTACTCTGCCTCTGTAGAGCTTCTAGAGACTGTGGATTGCTTTTTAGACTGCCAAGAAATTGGATTTGTCCCAAGATACACAACAAAACCTGTAATTGATCTTCTGGTGTTGATATCGGCTGCCCAATCCGAGTCAGAATAAGCAGTTATATTGAATTCCTTGCTTTTTGTATATTGTAAGCCATAGCCAATAGTGCCTTGTATATATCTCAAGATTCTTTTGACCAGAAACATATGTAAATCAGTTGGTTGTGCCATGAATTGACAAACCATGTTCACCGAATGGGCTATATCAGGCCGAGTAAAAGTTAGGTATTGAAGAGCCCCAACTATGCTTCTATAGTGACTCGGATCTGATAACGGTGTTCCTTCACCAGCAAGAATTTGAGTATGAGGCTTAGATGGTGTTGAAGTAAACTTGCAGTTCTCCATGCCTGCCTTTTGTAACACATCTTTGGCATATTTAGTCTGTGATATAAACAAGGAACCGTCATCTCGATACTATATATGTAGCCCCAAAAAGTATGTTAACCTCCCCATATCTTTGAGATCAAACACACCAGCAAGATCATCGATGACAGACTGTATTTTAACTGAGTTTGAACCAGTGAGAATTATGTCATCAACATACAACAATAAAAGGATTATGTCTCCACCATCAACTTTGACAAATAGACTAGTATATGAAAGAGATGATTTAAATCCAATAGCGGGAAGAAAGCTAGTAAATTTCAAATTCCAAGCTTGAGGAGCCTGTTTTAACCCATAAAGGGATTTGATCAATTTGCAGACATGATCAGGACATGTAGCATCCACAAACCCTTGTGGTTGTTGCATATAAACCTCTTCTTCCAAGTCTCCATGAAGAAAAACATTTTTGATATCAAGTTGCCTTAATTGCCAACTGAACTGAGCTGCTAAGGCTAAGATAAGTCTTACAGTGGTATGTCTAACCACTGGACTGAATGTCTCTGAGTAATCCAAGTCGTGCTCCTGAGAATACCTTTGTGCCACCAACCGGGCTTTGAACCTAGATATGCTACCATCTGGATTTTTCTTTACCTTATACACCCACTTACTTCCAATAACAGATCAATGTGATGGAGGTGGAACAAGTATCCAAGTGCCTTGAGTTTTCAGTGCATTAAATTCCTCTTGCATGGCAATTTGCCATTCTGGTTTCAATGATGCAGCTTTAAAATTTCTAGGTTCTTCCCCATCTGTGATGTCATTAAGAAATGAAAAACCCTCAGACAAATGTGCATTGAAGTTGGTAGAGAAATCAGCAGAGAATAACACATCAAGATGTAAGGAATGCAATTGAGGTAGAAAAGCAAGATATCCCATATAACTCTTCTTAACAATGGTACCAATTTTTAACCTGGTTTGGATACAATTCTGATTGACATATGTGATGACTGAATTATTATGATGTGAAGGTGAGGTAAAAGGAAGAACTACCTAGAGTTGTGCAGGATCAATGACAGGAAGCAAATGAGTAGTGTTCGGTGAAGAGGAATGAGCATAAGGTGTTCCAGACCCCTGATTTTCTGATTCTGTTGAGACATGATCTTCTGATGTAGTAGTATTTGGAGAAAATATTTATGTGCCTGATTGAGATAAAGAGTTCTGTGATTCTGCATGATCAGTAGGTCTCCTTGCATGTGACACTGGTATAGATACAATAACAGGTACATCCCTTGGTTGTTCCTGTTCCTCATGTCTATCTAACCGTGCAGGACTTGTGTGTTGAACCATTTTCACAGGAAATAAAGATTCATCAAAATAGACATGTCTGGAAAGGATAAACTTCTTAGTCTGCAAGTTATAACAAATCACTCATTTGTACCCTTGTGAATAGCCTAAGAATGCACACATCACTGATCGTGGTTGTAACTTATTAATGTTGTAGGGTCTCGGCCATGGGAATACAGCAGAGCCAAAAATCTTAAGAGATTGTATATCAGGTACCTTCTTATACAAAGTCAAGTATGGAGAACTGAAAGACAAACTTTTGCAAGGCATGTTATTGATTAACAGAACCGAATAAGCACAAGCAAGTACCATAGCTCAGAAGGTAAACCAGAAGCACTAAGAAGAGTGATTGCAGTTTCTAAAATATGTCTATGTTTCCTTTCTGCCACTCCGTTCTGTTGAGGAGTATACGGGAAAGATATGAGCTGCAAGATACCTTTGTCAGCTAGAAATGAAGTAAAACTCTTGCTTGTATATTCCCCTCCCCCATCTGTTTGCAGTGACTTGATTGTTGTACCAAATTGATTAAGAATAAACTTGTAGAACTTAACAAAGATTGTAAACACATCAGATTTATTGCTTATGGGAAATATCCAAACAAATCTTGTATATTCATAAACAAATGTTACATAATACCTATATCCCTCTATGGATCTTACAGGTGATGGACCCCAGACATCAGTATGCACTTTCTGAAAATGAGATGTACACCTATCAGTTCTAACAGGAAATGGAATCCTGGACATCTTGCCTTGAATACAAGAGATACAAGTACTATGATTATCATCTGTTTGTACTGGAATATTTGACTGTTTCAACATTGTAGTCATCACATCATGAGCTGGATGTCCAAATCTCTTATGCCAGACATTATTCTTCACTGCTTTGCCCAAATAAGCTGCTGGATACTTCGTTATGAACTGAGAACCCTTTGCACTTGTGACTATAGGGATCTGGAACAATTCCTCAGGGCTATTCTTTCCGTGGTACACTATCTCCTTTGTCTTCTTGTCCTGCATAAAGAATTTAGAATTATCACAGATAAACCAACTTTTGTTATCTGCACATAACTGTTCCACAGAGAGTAAACTCCTAGCAATATTAGGCACATGTAAAACTTTATTAAGAATCAGGGAACGTGTAGGAGTTTGAAGCATAGTTGAACCAATATTTTTAATTGGTAGACCTGTACCATTCCTAATTGTTATCTTCTCAGATCCCTCAAAAGGTATTACTTGAGAGATAGCACTGATATCAGAAGTTATATGATGTGACGCACCAGAATCAACAATCTAAGC